CCTTCCTCCTCCTCCCTTCTCCCTCCCTGCCTTCCTCTCCCTTCCTCACTTCTCCCAGTCCCTTCCAGCCCCTCCCTTTCTGCCTGGCCCTTCGTTTCTCCTTACAATCCCTTCCTTGCTCCCTCCTTCCTCTCCCTCCCTACAACATCCTCCATTCCTCTTTCTCTCCCTCACCTAAACACCACCATTTTTCTAACATTATCATCATTCTCATTTCTTTTTTCAACACCCCACTCTTCCTTCTCTCCCTCCTAACAGCCCACCCTCCTTCCTTCTCCCTCCCCAACGCCCTCCTTCCCCTCCCCTCCCTCTCCCTCCCTAACAGCCCCACCCTCCCTCCTTCTCTCCCTCCCAACAGTCTCCCTCCTTCCTTCTCTCCTCCCTAACAGCCCCACCCTCCTTCCCTTCTCTCCCTCCCTACAGCCCCACCCTCCTTCCTTCTCCCTCCCTAACAGCTTCTCCCTTCCCTCCTCTCCTCCTAACAGCCCCACCTCCTTCCTTCTCCCTCCCCTAACAGCTTCTCCCTTCCCTCCTTCTCTCCCTCCCCTCTATCCATTTCTCGTGTTTTTCTCCATCTTTCTCCCTCCCTCCCTCCCTCCCTCCCATCCCCGGCTGTTCATTCTCACCTCCCACGCCCTCCTCCTCCCTTAGCTGTTCTCTCCCTCCCACAACTCCTCCCATTAACGTCTCCTTCTCTCCTTTAGTTCCCTCCCATTAGCCACCTCTTCCTCCATCAATTAATAATCAATAAAAAAAACCCCAATAATTAATAATAAATCCTTAATTCTTCATTCTAATTCGTCTCTATAATTACTTAATAGAGACTTGACACACACACACACACACACACACACCTTACTCCCCTCTCGTATGGTCTCACTACAACACTGACGCCATTTTTTGAGAATCCATCATTGTGTCGTAGGTTAAGTGAGTCAGTTAGATAGGTTCTCACATCACCAGTTAGGAGGAAAAAGTTAACCTAGGAACCTTTGAGAATATTGGAGCAGTGTGATTGGCTGGGGTTGGCCAGGAAAGTAAACTCAAGAATTTACCTTGTGTGTGCAGAGGAGGGGGGGGGGGGGGGGGGGAGGGGGGAGGAGGAGGGTGGGGAGGGTGGGGTGGGGGGAGGGGTGGGGTGGGGAGGAGGAGGAGGGAGGGAGGAGGTTGGTGTATTATTCCGCAGTGTTAAGCTGTTATGGTAATGTTGGCCTGGACGGATGATTGTTTTGTGTGTGTGTGTGTGTTGGTTTCACGAACACAAACACACACCTACAACCCAGTGTGTACTCAGCCCACAGTGTGTACTCAGCCCACAGCGTGTACTCAGCCCACAGTGTGTACTCAGCCCACAGTGTGTACTCAGCCCACAGTGTGTACTCAGCCCACAGTGTACTCAGCCCACAGTGTGTACTCAGCCCACAGTGTGTACTCAGCCCACAGTGTGTACTCAGCCAGTGTGTACTCAGCCACAGTGTGTACTCAGCCACAGTGTGTACTCAGCCCACAGTGTGTACTCAGCCCACAGTGTGTACTCAGCCACAGTGTGTACTCAGCCCACAGTGTGTCCACAGTGTACTCAGCCCACAGTGTGTACTCAGCCCACAGTGTGTACTAGACCCACAGTGTGTACTCAGCCCACAGTGTGTACTCAGCCCACAGTGTGTACTCAGCCCACATGTGTGTACTCAGCCCACAGTGTGTACTCAGCCCACAGTGTGTACTCAACCGACACTCCCTCAAGCGCCTGTAATAAGTGGCACTAGAGCGACAATTTAAAACTGGCCCTAAACTTCACTGGCACCCGGATATAACGGTGTTTTATGGAGGTGTTGATGTCTCTCTCTCTCTCTCTCTCTCTCTCTCTCTCTCTCTCTCTCTCTCTCCTCCTTCTCTCCTCTGCTCTCTCTCTCTCTCTCCTCACACTCATGTTAATTAAACCACATTTCTTTTTCTGATTAACTGACCAATGACCTTCAAGAAATGTCACGGTGGTAGTGGTTAGGTTAGGTTAGGTTAGGTAGCCAAAAGCCGACAACTGCTGCAGATATTGACTATGAGAGCAGTCACTGAATACCGCATAGATCTGCGGCTCAACTAACTCAACACAGCCAGGGTAGTTACTTATGTATTAGGATATTTAATATTAAGGTAATGAAATGGCGGCGAAGGTGTGGCTATTGGGGGAGGCTGGAGGCCATTTAAATTTGGTTATGGTGGTAGTACTGGGGTAGTGGTGGTAGTGGTGGTAGTGGTGGTAGTACTGGGTAGTGGTGGCAGTGGTGGTGGTGGTGGTAGTGGTGTGGTAGTGGTGGCAGTGGTGGTAGTGGTGGCAGTGGTGGTAGTGGTGGTAGTACTGGGGTGGTGGTGGCAGTGGTGGTGGTAGTGGTGGTAGTAATAGTAGTATTGGTTGGTAGTGGTAGTGGGGGGTAGTAGTGGGGGGTAGTAGGTGTGTTGGGTCAGGGAGGAGGTCAGAGGAGGGTCAGCAGGGTCACAGGTACAGGGGGTCGTGAGGGGTCATGGGGGGTGAGGATCGTGGGGGGTCGTAATGGCGTCAGGCACTCTAGCCGTGGGAGAGAAACGACCTCACTATGTCAGGGCGGATGTGTTGTGTTGGCTGATGGAGTGTTGCTCGCTCTCACCTGGCAGGGAGGGGGTGACCTGGCAGGAGGGTGACCTGGAGGAGGGGGGTGACCTGGAGGTGACCTGGAGGAGAGGGGTGACCTGGAGGAGAGGGGTGACCTGGAGGGGGGTGACCTGGAGGGAGAGGGGTGACCTGGAGGAGGGGTGACCTGGAGAGGGGGTGGGAGTGACAAGTAAGTGTAGGTGTAGATGGTAGGTGCAGGTGTAGATGGTAGGTGCAGGTGTAGATGGTAGGTGCAGGTGTAGATGGTAGGTGTAGGGTCAGTCAGACACTGATAAATTGGTCGATTGTTCTCAGGTGAGGCAAGATCAGAGAGAGAGATAAACAAATGGAGAGATGAAGGTGACACGAGGTTCCGACGGAGGGAAGAGTGAGAGGCCGAGTGAGAGGGGGGAGAGAGTGAGAGGGTGAGAGGGAGAGGCTACAGGTGGTTACTGCCATGTTAAATTAATCTCCTTTGAAGCTAAACCTCTGATTAAGTGATGATGATGGTGATGATGGTGGTGGTGATGAGTGGCGGTGGTGGTGGTGGTGGTGGTGGTGGTGGTGATGTGATGATGTATATATATGATGGTGGTGATGATGATAAAATGATGATGGTGATGATGATGTAATAATAATAATGACAGTGATGATGATAATGATAAACTACTCTAATAAAACACTACACACTCTTTCGTATCTTGTGAAAAAAATTAACAAATGTCTAAAAAAAAAAAATATTGAGATAGATATAATAAAAACTGACCATCAGGCAACACTCCTAACCTGCTGGTGATAGCTGCCAAGTCGTCATATAATCACAGCATATAAGAGAAAACTATAATTAAGGTAATTATCTTAGTAATTACCATTAATTATTGTATTGCCTCAGTGACGTCACACGAGGTTAACTATAATGATTATGATGGTGTGTGTGTGTGTGTGTGTGTGTGTGTGTGTGTCTGTCTGTGTGTGTGTGTGTGTGTGTGTGTGTGTCTGTCTGTGTGTGTGTGTGTGTGTGTGTGTGTGTGTAATATATATATAAATGGTATTCACACACATGTAAGTTACGTGTACACATCATCACTTACATAAAGTTAATACACACACACACACAAGGTCCCAAAACAGTATATTTTGTTTCCTCACTCCCTATTCCTGACCCCCTTCACTGATTACACCCCCTTACCTCCCTGACCCTAGTGACCACTCTAAGTCCTAACAAATGACCCGCCTCTTGTGTCCCTACACCTACACTGTCTACACATCCACTGTCGCTTTTGTCTACACCTACACTGTCTAAAATCAATGAACCAGTGTCGAAGAATAATTAAAGAAGACCGGACAACTCACCAACTGCACTGGCTAGTCATTACCCCGGAACACGACCAACAACTCTATTAACACCCAGGAGTAAAGAAACTTGTCCATAGTTTCACCCTGCCACATACATACATACATACATACATACATACATACATACATACATACATACATACATACAGACAGACACATACATACAGACAGACAGACACACATATATATACGAGTATTTTTGTGTGTGTATGTAAAACAAAGTTATGTTCTGTTTGTGTTTGTTTGTGGCTTCCTGTGTTTGTGTTATTGGTTTGTTTACGTTTTCATCATTGTTTTGGTTTACTTGATTATTTGTTTAGTTTTTATTTGGTATTTGTTTGTTTTTTGTATTTGTTTTGATTCTTGTTTTTTTTTTTCATTCTTGCTACTTTGTTTAATTGTTTGTCACCTCCGTCCCTCAAACAGACAAAACTCTTTAGAGTATTTACCTACTCTCCACCCACCTTCCTTCTCTCCCTACTTTCTTTCTCTCCTTCCTTCCTTCCTTCTCTCACTCCTCCCTACCCCCCTGCCCCTACCCATCTGATGTAGAAGAACTGAGACCTGAGAGACCTGAGAGACCTGAGAGACCTGGTAGTTGTAGCATAAGTAAATATGACAAATTTTGTGACAAGAGGTACCGGTATGGCCAGCATAAGGACAGAACCAGACAATGTGATGTAGTCGTGGCCAGAATTAGGCTAGGATACAGACACATCTGGCAAGTTAGTAACGCTGTACCCATACCGGAACACTCAGCATGTAAACTTTGTGATAAACCTTTAAAGCATACTTGGCTTATTGTATCATGAACTATGTAATTACAACACTGAATCAGGAGTGCTTGGGGACATTCTTGTTATTTATCTCAAATTCTGCTGCCGGCCCACACTGATTAGTCGTCAAATAGATTATGACTTCTACTGAATAACTCATAATAGGCAAATCGTACTCCAATTTTTACCATCTCCACCCCACCCCATCCCACCCCTCCTTCCGTCCCTCCAACAATACTCACATCAACAGTCACGCCAGGTCGAGGGAAGATGGACTGGGTTTGGACTGAGCCCGGCATGTAGCGGTAGAACTCTTCGTCATCTTTATACCACTTGACGGAGTACAGCGGCTCGCCCTCCAGATCATAGTGACAATTCAGTACAGCATCCTCACCTCTGATCTTGTACACGGGGATAACTGTCTCTAGGATGCTCAGACCTGTACCTGTAGGGGAGAGATAGAGAGAGAGATTATAAATATGCTGAGACTTGTACCTGTAGGGAAGAGATAGAGAGATTATGGTGGTTATGGTGATGAGATGGTGGTAGTGGTGGTGAAGATGATGAGGTTTTAAGATATGAGAGTTAGCTACACACACACACATAATAGATGGTGCGTCAATCAGATGGGTAACTCAGAGGTGTGTGTGTGTGGGGGGTGAGGGTGAGAATGAGGTGTGAGGAAGACAGTTGAAGTGAAGTGTGAGGAGAGGACGGGTAGGGGTGTGGGGACAGGTGAGAGGTGAAATAAGAGGTGAAATGTGAGTGAGAGTGTAAGGTGAGATGAGAGTGAGGAGGTGAGGAGGAGGAGGTGAGAGGTGGGGAAGTATAGTGTGAGGTGAGAGAGTGAGAGGTGAGGAGGAGCAGTGACAGGTGAGAGTATAGTGTGAGGGTGAGAGAGTTGAGGTGGGAGGAGCAGTGACGAGGTGAGAGTATAGTGTGAGGTGAGAGGTGAGAGGTGAGGGAGGAGGTGAGGTAGATTATTCAGTCACTATGACAAAGTTAACCATCACTAAATAATACATTGAGTGTCACCTCACCTGCCTACCTGGCCTCACCTGTCCTCTACCTACACAATAATAATAATAATAAAATATAATAATAATAATAATAATAATAATAATAATAATAATAATATATAATATAATAATAATAATAATAATAATAAAAATAATACGCACACACACACACACACACACACACACACACACACACACACACACACACACACACACACACACACACACACACACACACACACACACACACACACACACACACACACACACACACACACACACACACACACACACACACACACACACACACACACACACACACACACACACACACACACACACACACACACACACACACACACACACACACACACACACACACACACACACACACACACACACACACACACACACACACACACACACACACACACACACACACACACACACACACACACACACACACACACACACACACACACACACACACACACACACACACACACACACACACACACACACACACACACACACACACACACACACACACACACACACACACACACACACACACACACACACACACACACACACACACACACACACACTCCAGGTAAACCACTTAAGGATGGAGACGAATTTCTGGGAAGCAAAATTTTGACCCCAATTCATAATAGAGAGAAAATAACCATAATAAAATAAAGATAAAGTGAGATAGTGAGATAGAGAAAGTGAGATAGAGAGAGATAGTGGTATAAAGTGAGATAGTGAGATAGTGAGATAGAGAAAGTGAGATAGAGAGATAGTGGTATAAAAGTGAGATGAGAGTGAGGTAGAGATAGTGGTATAAAGTGAGATAGAGAGTGAGGTAGAGAGAGATAGAGACCAATAGAGAAAGTGAGAAAGAGTGAGACAGAGTGAGATAAGAGAAAGTGAGATAGAAAGAGTGAGACAGGAGGATAGAAAGTGAGAAAGAGTGAGATAAAGTAAAATAAAGTGAGATAGAGAAAGTGAGGGAAAGTGAGAGAAAGCAAGACAAAGTGATATAGAGATTGAGATAAAGTGAAATAAAGTGAGATAGAAAGTGAGATAGAGAAAGTGAGGAAAAGTATGATAGAGAAAGTGAGAGAAAGTAAGATAGAAGTGAGATAAAGAGAAGTAGAATGAGAGTGGAGCAAATGTATCTTATGGTGGCCAGTGGTCATTATTATGTACAGGAGAGACCCACTACCTGCCTCACTTACCTGTGTGTGTGTGTGTGTGTGTGTGTGTAGGACTCCGGTGAAAATCTATCCTCGAACACACACACACACACACACACACACACACACACACACACAGTCTGGTCACGGTCCAGTATTAGGTAAATATCTCTCTCCTCTCCTCATCTCTACCTTACTTATGTAAATTATCTCTCTCTCTCTCTCTCCTCTCTCTCTCTCTCTCTCTCTGTATGTGTCTGTCTGTTCCCCACTTTGCGTGCTTTAGGGAAGATGAAGGGGGAGGGAGAAAGGAAGGAAATGAAGTGGAGGGAGGTGAGGGAGGAGGGAGGGAGGGTGAGAGAGTGAGAGGGAGGGAGGAGTGAGAGGAGAGGGGTGAGTCGGAGGGTGAGGAGGGAGGGAGGAGGGAGAGTGAGGGGAGGGAGGTGAGAGGGAGGGAGAGTGAGAGGGGAGGAGAGTGGGGGAGAGGTTGCGTGGACACTACCATTGGGGAACTTCTTGCAGTAAACGTGTCCCTCCTCCCTCCCTCCCTCCCACTCACTCTCCCTCCCTCTCTCCTCCTCTCCTCCTACGCTCCTCCCTCCCTCCACGCTCCCTCCCTCCCTCCTCTCCCTTACACTCTCCCCCTTTAATCCCTCCTCTCTCCCTCACACACTCTCCCTCACACTCTCCCCCTCTCCCTCCCTCCCCCTCCCTCCTCTCTCTCTCCCCCCTCACTCTCTCCCCTCCTCTCCCTCCTCCTCTCTCCCTCCCTCTCTCCTCTCCTCCCTCCCTCTCTCCCTCCCTCACTCTCCCAATCACCTCCCACCCTCCTCTCTTCCTCTCCTCCCTCCCTCCCCTCTCTCCCCTCCCTCACTCTCTCCCTCTCCCTCCCTCCCTCTCTCCCTCTCCCTCCTCCCTCTCTCCCTCCCTCTCTCTCTCTCTCCCTCCCCTCCTCTCTCCCCTCCCTCCTCTCACTCTCTCCCTCCCCACCTCTCCCTCCTCCCCTCCCTCCTCACTCTCCGTCCCTCCCTCACTCTCTCCCTCCCTCTCCCATTCGTTGACCTCAATGTATTTTTTCTTTAATTTTTCGTGGTTAGGTGTAGGGGGTGTAGGCGGGTGTAGGGGAGGTGTAGGAAGGGTGTGGGAAGATGTGGGAGGTGTGAGGGGAGGTGTGGGGGTGTGGGAGGTGAGGCAGGTGTAGGGAGGTGTGAGGAGGTGTGGGAGGTGTGGGAGGTGTGGGGAGGTGTAGGCGAGGTGTGAGGTGTGGGGAAGGGTGAGGGGGTGTGGGGGGGTGTGGGGAGGTGTGGGAGTGTGTAGGGAGGTGTGGGGGTGTGGGAGGGTGTAGGGAGGTGTGTGTGTGGGAGGGTGTAGGAGGGTGTGGGAGTGATGTATTATAACATACTCAATTATTTTTTTGAATACACACACACACACACACACACACACACACACACACACACACACACACACACACACACACACACACACCTGCCAGAAACAAGCCTCAATACACTACACCTGTTATAAATATTCGTATACAATAATATAACCATTTATATACGTGTTACGGTAGAGCGAGTCTGTGGTGCGGGTTCACAGCTGTTCCACCACACCAACAGCCAATCACGAGCCCACCGTCAACAGCCAATCACCGTCAACAGCCAATCACCGTCAACAGCCAATCATCGCCCTTCAATTTGTTTTACTTACGATTTATATATATTTTTTCGTGTATATAGTTAAATGTATATGCGGGTAATTTAAGACTTCAATGGGGAAAATCCACTCGTATGCGGGCATGGTGGATGGTGATTGGTCTATATACCTAGGTGACACAGTGGTGAGAGGGAGGTGAAGGGGAGAGTGGGGGTGAGAGGAAGAAGAGAAGAGAGGAGAGAGAAAGAGAGAGAGAGAGAGAGGAAAGGAGGAGGAGGAAGGAGGGAGAGAGGGAGAGGAGAGGAGGAGGGCATAGTCCACCAAATAAGGGTTTCAATAATTGCATTTGTTGTTGTTGGCGTCTTACTTCCCTCCTCCTCCCCTCTCACTCACTCTCACTTCCCTTCTCTCTCTCTCTCTCTCTCTCTCCTCTCTCTGTCTCTCTCTCTCTTGTTCTTCTCATCCATAATTATCTTTCATTCCCTTTACTTCTTCAGCTTAATTCTCCCTCACATTCACTCCCTGACTCCCTCTACTCCCTCACCCTTCATAACTCTCTCCCTTACTCACCGTTATTCTCCCTCACTCACTTTCCTTCCTCTCCTCTCTCTCTCTCTCTCTCTCTCTCACTCTCTCTCTCTCTCTCTCTCTCATTATTTCCTTTTCTCACCCAGCCTCACCTCCCTACCTCCCTACCCTCCCTCCCTTACTCTCCCTGGTACTTAGTGAGTTATTTAATGAGGCGGGAATGTCATGGGTGTGTGTACAGTATGTGTGCGTTGTGGCATGTATGTATGTATGTATGTATGTGTGTATGTATGTATGTGTGTATGTATGTATGTATGTATGTATGTGCTGACAAACACACCAACAATCCACGTGTTTTATTCACAACATAGCTCCCCCTCCTCCCTCCCCTACCCTCCCCTCCCCCATTTCCCCTCTACCTCCCTCCCTCCCCCCTCCCCTCTCTCTCCCTCCCACCTCTTTTTTTAATAAACGCTTCGTAATTGAGCACCTATATCTCCCTCCTCCCCTCCCTCCCTCTCCCTCCCCTCCCCCTCCCCCAGATGCACCTCAACAATAAATATTTCTTCATGTGTGACCCTCACCTGGCACTTATTGTCTATAGGTGAGAAGTCCCACCCCCTTCTCTCCTCCCTCTCTTCCTTCCTCTCCCCCTCTCCTCTCCATCTCTTCCTCCTTTCCTTCTCCCCACCTCCCCCTCCCTTCCTCCGTTCCTCTATTCCTCCCTACTCACCCCTCTTTCAATCTCCTCCTCCCTCTCCCTCCCCTCCCTCCTCCCTCCCCTCTCCTCCTCCCTCCTCCTCCTCCTCCCTCCCTCTCCCTCCCTCCCCTCCAGTAACACAACTCTCGCATTGTTTACAACCCAAAAGAAGGTATTATTTCACATTGGAATCCTCTCACCTGCTCTCCCACCCCCCTTCCCTCCTCTCTCTCTCTCTCGCCCTCTTCAACTTCTCCATGCCTTTACCCCTCCCCTCTTTTCTTCCTCCTCCCTCTCCTCTCCCTTCCTCTTCCCTTCTCCCTCCCTCTCCCCCCTCTCC